AGTCATGTGGTAATTCTATGTTTAACTTTTTGAGGAACTGCCAAACGTTTATTCATAGTGGCTATGCCATTTGCATTCCCACCAGTAATGGATGATGGTTACAATTTCTTCACATACACACCAACACCTGTTATTTTCTATTTTTTCATCATAGCCATTCTAGTGATGATGAAGTGCTATCTCATTGTGGTTTTGACTTGCATTTCCCTAATGACTGATGTTGAGCATCTTTTCATGTGCTTGTTGGCTATTTGTATAATCCTCTTTGGTGAGATGTCTATTTAAGTTCTTTGTCCATTTTCTTGATTGGGTTGTTGTCTCTTCTGTTGCTAAGCTTTAAAATTATGTTTTAATGATAAAACTTATACTCAGTGTGAAAAATAAAGCCATAGAGACATATAGAAAGTTAAAAGGAGCTTTACTCAATTCTACTTCCTTGAATTCCAACTGTGATCTGTGAACTTATTTCTGATGGCCATGCCTGAGGCTGGTCACTCACAGAGTTGCGACCACAGCTTGTCTGACGCATGTGCCCACAGTTCCACTCCTGGTAGGGGTGCCACCACCCCTGGAGGAAAGCCAGCCTCAGTTTCCCATGTGTGGATCCCCTGCCTCCCTACACTCCTTGGGGGACAGGTGTGATATGTCAGCTCAGACGTTCCTTGTTGGATGAGACATCCCTGGAGAAGCTCCTGCCTCCTCAGGCAGAGATTTCCCAGAAGAGAGTTTTTCCTTAGGGAATCCCCCTCCTACTGGCTTCCTTTTCCCTTTTTCTGACACCTGATCTGATCCAGAAAGAAGGAGCTCGGTCAGTGGATCCTGCCCTCCCCAGGGCTGCAGAGCTCTGCTGGGTTTTGTGCTCTTTCTCGTGGCTACTGAAAGTTCAACACCACTTCTGCTTGAATGTTGCCATATTGTGCTACCCTCTTGGCTCCCCTGAGGACACTGACAATGGCTATGTGGTCTGGCACACTGGTGGTCTCAGAGCCAGTATAAAGGAGCAGCCCTTGCTGGGGCTCCTTCTTCATTTGGGTCCTGCTCAACGACCACCTCCTCTTAGAAGTCCTCCTTCACCCCAGCCTAAGACAGGACCCCCCAGATATCTCTTCCACATCATCTACCACTGTATGATAGGTTCTGGATCATGTATGTGACCACTGCCAGTCTCCCCACTAGACATGAGCCCCTTGAGGGCAGGGACTGTGTCTTAGGGATCTGCAGAGAAGCAGAACCAATAAGATCTATCTATATCTATATCTCTATATGTCTCTGTTTATGTCAATGTCTATCTCTGTATCTATATCAATATCTATGTAGATGTAGATATTTATATATATATCTATATCTCTGCATATATATCCTTATATCTATATTAATAACTACATCAGTATGTATATTATTAAATGTCACAGCCTTGAAAACCTCTGGGTACAGTTCTACTTTGTACATGTTGAGCTCGCCATGAGTCAGAATCGACTCAATGTTAACTAACAAACATAAATTTACTTATTTCATGTGAGATCATATATTATTTGTCCTTTTGTGACTGACTTATTTCTGTCAATATAATGTTTTCAGGTTCATACATGTTGTGGTATGTATTAGCACTTCATGTCTCTTTATGGCAATGTAATGTTCCATTTTATGTATATACCACATTTTGTTTATCCATTCATCTCTGGATGGCCATTCCAATTGTTCCACCTTTTGGCTATTGTGAAAAGTGCTGCAATGAATGTGAGTGTACAGGTTTCTCTTTGTGTTCCTGCTTTCACTTCTTCTGGGTATATACCTAGGATTGGGATTTCTGGGTCATATGATAGTTCTATGTTCAGCTTTTTGGCTATATTCTCTTTTAATTCTTACCACAATCTTGTGAGCTGGGTGTATCAGCTTCCTAGGTTGCTGTAACAAATTACCACAACATAGGTGGCTCAGAAATGACAGGAATGTATTACCTCATAGGTCTGGAGGCTAGAAGCCCGAATACACGGTGTCGGCAGGGCTCTAAGGGAAGATCTTTCCTCATCTGTCCAAGCTTCTGGCGGCTCCAGGAGTTCCTTGGCTTGCAGCTGCAGCATAACTCCAATCTCCATCTTCCTTCTGTCTGTCTCTCTGTGTTTCTGCTACTCGTTTATAAGGACACCACTCAGATTGACTTAGGACCCACCCTACTCTAGTGTGACCTCAACTGAACATCTTTAAAGTTAAGTTATCATCTTCAAAGACCCTATTTCCAAACAAGTTCACATTCACAGATACTGGGAGTTAGGACTTTAACATAACTTTTTGGGGACACAGTTCAACCCATAACAATGGATGCTACTGAAACGCCCATTTACAGATGGAAAATAGTGCAAGGTTAATGGTTAAGGATGCATCATGTGAAGCCAGGCCTCCTAGGTGGTTTCTGGCTCCCTCATGTACCAGCTGTGTGATTTTGGACAAGTTGTTTAAATATTTTTCTTCATCTTTAAAACAAAATAAAATAAAATAAAAATGTTAATATACCTAAAAGGCTTAAAACAGTTTCAGTGACTGATATTGGCAAACACTGGTGGTGGCTGCCACTCCAGCTCTTGGCTGCCTGCCCAACCCAGGTACATACTAGGTCTACAGTAAGCTGAGCCCTTCCCAGGGGTGGGGTGGGTCCTAAGTCTTTATCTTGTGTCTCTTAGGACCCTGCCTGGTTTATCAAGCCCTGTCCCTGCTCCTGCCCCAGTTGAAGTCTGCGCCAGCAGGGGCGTGGGGAATATAGGCAAGGGGTGTCCACCTCCGCCTACTGAGGGCTCCAGGAACAGACACCTGAATCCTGGGACCATATTGGGCTGGAAGGGGCATTGTTGGGGGATGAGGGAAGTTTGGGGTCTCCCCAAGATCCTACCAGTGTCAGGAAGATGGTATTTGCCCCATCGTCTTGTTGAGCAGCTCTGCTGGAAACCCCTTCTTCAAACTTGATCTCATCTGAGAACACCCCACAGAGCAATTCTGGACAAGATCAAGGGAAGCACACAGTAGGCACGTTTTATGTGGAGTACCTGGTGCACAGTAGGCATGCTTTATGTGGAGTACCAGGTACACAAGCAGCTCAAGTACCAGGTGCCAGGCCCTTCCTTTCTCTCCCTCTCTTCTGGGCTCCTGACCCTTCTCACCATCCTATAGAGCCTTCCTTTGCCTTTTGTAAGGTCCCTATCTGATGCCCCATTTCCCAGACGGGAAGACTGAGGCTCAGAGAAGAGTCAGCACAGTTCATAGTCAGAATAAAGACCAAGCACATCCCCCTCCATCTTCCTTCCCATCGTCCTTGACCACAGCCTCCAGGTGTCCTGTGCCCACCTGTGCCCTTTATCGCAGAATCTGATTCCAGTAATCCCTGTAAGGCTGGAGTCTTTGTTCCTGCTACCTCCCAGGCTGTCTGGAGTCAGGATTGGACTCTGGTTGGTTGGCCAGCCAGGACCAGCAGCTTCCAATCCCCCAGCCTCCAATTCCTGCTTCAAGAAATGGGGCATGACCCTCTTGTGGTCCACAACATGTAGAGGAGCCCAGTAGATGTTTTGGGGAAAGAATTTGGCCCTGCATCCTTGGCCGCTGAATTTTCAAGTTCAGGTTTTTACCTGCAGCACGCTGGTGGTGGAAGGGCTGTGGTGCTTGTTAACTTCCAGGCTCAGAGTAACCTTTGCTACCTGCCCCTCCAACTTCTCCCTTTCCCCTGGTGGAAGGTGCTTGGTCTACAGGATCCAATGTCCTTTGCATGTGCTGAGCCAGCTTTTCAGCCTCTCTGGACACCACTGAAACCCTTGGTCACCCCCTGCCTCCTATTCTGGGCAGTTGCCTGTCAGGGAGGAGGGAGCCAGTCCTGCGGGGATTGGCTGGCCCAGGCCAGCCCCTCTCAGCTGTCCCCAAGGGTAAAGAGGTCCCAGGAGAAAGGGAGAGGAGGAGGTGCAGGACAAGCCACTGAGGATAGAAGGTGCCAGGCTGGGGGTGGCAGGGCTGGGAGGGACTTGGTCTTGGGGGGAGGTGTGCTACCCATGGCTGGGGCTCCAAGGAGCAAGCTGGCTAGGGGACTGTGACTAATGAGTAACTGGATCCTCTGACAGCCACCCTGGGGCTTCTGGGGCAGGAATTCCTGAATTCCAGCCACCTCTTGCTCCATCTCTCTCTCTCTCTCTCTCTGTCTCCCCACGTCTTCCCCTGACCTTCCCTGGGCTTCCCTCCCCTCTCTGGCCCCATGTTTGCCCATGTTTGCCCATGTTTGCCCCCTCCCCGTCCCTGAAGCCCACACATTTGGTCCCTTCCTCTACTTTGTGCCCATCTCATCGCTGCTTCTCAGCTCATCATTAAACCAAAAAAAAAAAAAAAAAAAAAACCAAACAAACGATTGCCTTCAAGTTGATTCCTACTTATAGCGACCCTGTAAGATACAGTAGAACTGCCCCATGTGGTTTCCAAGGAAAAGCTGGTGGATTTGAATTGTGAACCTTTTGGTTAGCAGTCGAGCTCTTAATCACTGTGTCACTAGGGCTTCTGAGCAGTTAGCAACTTTCTCCTCAGTCTGCAAGATGTCGCTGCTCAAACTGTCATGGCTGGGACTCTGGCCAGGGGCAGCCTCCCTGTGGCTGATCCTGCTGCTGGCCATGGCCTCCTGGCTCCTGGTTCATGTCCTGGTCTGGACCTACACCTTCTATGACAACTGCCACTGCCTCAGATGTTTCCCTCAGCCCCCACTTCGGAACTGGTTCTTGGGGCACCTGGACCTGGTGAGTGGGGCAGTAGGATAGATCCGGGGTGTCAGGACCAGGGCAATCATGGTCAAGGGGCTGAGGACCAACAGTGAGTGGGTCTAGGACAGCAGAGAAGCAAGGGAGATGGAGGGGAGCCCCTCTTTCCTCCCTCACCCCCCAGGTCCAGTCCTCTTCTCTCTGTCCCCCTCCCATGCCTGAGCCCTCTCACTCTTCTCTTCTCCCACCCCCAGACTGCTTTGGGTCATTTTCCTGCCTGTGTTTCCCCCATTAGTGCACCTCTGGCTCCCCTCAGGGGCCCCCAGTACAGGCTGGATAAAGCCAGACGCCCTGACTTTCCCACAGAATCACCCAAAAGAGGGGACCTCATCAGGGACACAGTCCAGGGTCCCACCAGCTGCTGCCCGACCCACCTCTACTGGCCTCAGGACAGTGTCCAGCTCTCTGAAGGCTGCAGATCCCCACCCTCTACCCCTACACACAAGGGCACAGTTGGGCCAGAGGAGAGGTTAGGGCAGTCTCCCCAACCCACCTCTTCCTGGGGCCCCTTCCTCTTCTTATTTTCCCCTCCACCCCCAAGATGTACCAATGGGCCCCATTGCCCAACCTGGATAAAGTTGACCACTTCCCCTTTGAGAAGCCTTCCTTAACCTTTGATGTGGCCCTGCTCACACTTGTAATTAAACGGTCAATTGTCCAATCATTTGTTTATCATCCATCTCTCCCACATGATCGTAGCTCTAGGAGGCAGAACTCTATCAGCAGTGCCCAGCCCTGGAGCTGGCATACAATAAGCACTCAATAAATGTTTGAGAACCCAGTGGTTGAGGACATATCCTCGGTCTGGGTGACCATCACCTCCTTTAGACATTTGAGACCAAAGGGACAGGCCCTAGCCTCTTCCCTCCCCCAGAACACCTTGGGGACAAGCATGCCTCTCCAGCTTCCCCTTCTGCAGAGAGGAGAACAGCAGTTTGGGGAAGATCTTCCTGTGATTCTACTGCTTATCAAAACAAACTTCATTCAGAATAGGATGCTCCCAAGCTGACCATGAAGGTTTCCTGAGATTCCAGGATCTGGGGTGTCCTCAGAGGGCCCTGGAGGCCGCAGGAATGTCATAGGTCACCTGCAGTCCTGTCTGCCCTTCCGATGGCTTGTCCTGGGAGGCTGGTCTGGTCTGGATCACTCTTTCACTCCTGTAGCCCCTCTTGCTGTGTGACAGAAGTTAGCCTAGTCACTCTCCCCCTCTGGATCAGTTCCATCAAGCACATTGAATTCTCAGCTCAGTTTCCTTCAGGAGCAGGGAGCATGTCACCAGGTGAAAGTGGTTTATGTTCACTTGGTTGGAGCAGCCTGGGCGTCGGGCACAACTAAAGTGTCCCAAGAACCCGAGGGGGTGTCTTGGGGGTTAGGCGTGAACAGGGTGTCCTGAGGACTCTTGAGAAGATGTCTAAGGGGTCAGGCTTGAATGGACAGGGTGTCCCAGGATGTGCTGGGGGTTGATTTCCACCGAGGCTTCCCGAGAACTCTAGGAAACATCTTGGGGTTCAGGTTCAGACTACTGTGGTGTCCCAAAGACCCAAGAGAAATCTCCTCCTCAGAAACCTCCTCCTCTTCATTGTCTCCACATCCCTCAGTCCCACCTGCCCTTGGCAACATAGACGGGTGACTCTATAGGTTCAGAGAGAGGGTGCTCCAGACACACCTGTGGTCATCCGGCAGGCAAGAGGTGCTCCACTGAAGGAGGCTGCTGTGTAATGGACAGTCAAAGTTTATGTCTATTCTTTGGGAGCGTGCAAGGCTGGAAGGTCCCCGGTCTGTAGACTTTCCTGGGTGGAAGTCCTCAGTGTGGACTGCCAGGGCCCAGAGGGAATGTGGAAACAAGTCCCTATGCTATAACCCTGAGACCACACTGCTGCCTGCAGACCCTCCCACGGGGACCTCCTCCTGTGACTGTCCCCTGTGATGCAGCCACACCCAGGACGATAAAACCCATCACCTCGAGCCAAGCTCTGTAGCTAGAGTGTGACTTCCTCCTCTGTTTTAGATA